GTTCACGTTCATGAACTCGTTCATATTTTGGGTGAACTGAACGTATTGTTTTATTGCCTGTCCTGATGGACGTGTGAACTCGTTCATTCTGGTGTCTGTGAACGCACGCCCTCTCAGTTTAACTTCGTTCAATGGGGTGCCAGATTTCTATAGAGCCTTCCAGGCGAAAACCCGGCGAAAACTCACCGTAAACAGGGCTTAATATGTAGCGAAAAAACACCCAATCTGGCAAGGCAAGCCACCAGTGTCGCACCGCGGCAGCCGTCGACAAAGGCGTCGTATGATAATTTAAACGGATTTCATAACGAGGTCGGTGAAGATGGGAAAAATCTTACATTTCTGTGCAAACTTTGAACTGAACTAGTTAATTTTAAAATGTGTGAACTGAACTTTGAACTAGTTCATGTAGAAAGTGAACTTCCCCAAGACTGGTTGATGTCAACTTTTTCATTGTTGTCATGACAGCGCAGCTTCTCGTTCCGTGAACCTCTGGAGTTGTGAGTTTAGACTCTTTTTTTCGACTTTTTTAAAAACTGTTCCTGTGGTGTTGAGCAACTATAATTCCTGTTAATCCTATAAGTTTATATTTTTATTTATTTAAAGTGAATTAATTGTAATGAAAAATACAATTAAATTAAATAGCTAAAGTAAATCGTAAGTGGAAGTGCATCTGTCAATTTATTGAATGTTCAAAATATTCATTTTTATTTAGAAAAAAATACACATTGGTTGGCCTATTATGAGCATATATCAGCAATTACACATGTTTAGGTAATAGGGCATTATTAATGTATGTGCTAAGGTTTTTTTTTTTTAACAATTATTCATGTACAAACAGTAAGGCAATAGTAACAATTCTAGATATGGGTAAACCACTATCAGAGTCTGCCCGTGGGGTGGGGGCACCGCCGCGACAAGCAGTGTCCCACATTGTCCCTCAAAAACATACCCCTTGTCCCCCCTTTGGCTTATTAGCAGGTGGTCACCCTAGGACAAACCCAAATGTTGGGTTGAAATGCAATTAAAAATTGTACAGTTGAAAGTGAAATTTGAAATTACATTTTTAACCCAACATTTGGGTTTGTCCATATTTTACCCAAATTTGGGTTAAAACAACCCAGCAATAAAACCCAGAAATAAACAAATGTTTAGAATGTCTTACTTCTTCATCAATCACAGCACTTTTACTTTTATTTATTTTATTTACTCCACCTTTATTTGAATACGTCTACTTTTCATGAACTATCATTAATGAATGAATCCAGAAGGGGCATCACAGAGCTTGAGTCACGTCTCATGCGTGAGCCCCTCTTTTACACACAGCAAGCCAGATCTTTATACTCTTGCTAATGTGTTACCACTTTCAAGGATCAGATGGACTTAGAACTCATGAATTGGCTATATTGTGCAGCTCAACTCACTAGTTGGCCATTGCATTTTTAAGAACTTCAATACTACGTGGTTTGTAAGGATGACGGGCCTTGATGGAAGCGATCAGGAGTTTTATGTAAGATGCCTAAAGTTATTTTCCTCCAGCCGCCAGAACAAAAATCACGATTCACGTTTGTGACGGGTGCGGTTTTACAGTACGATGGACGCTGTAGCGGGGTAATGAAAATAGATTCAGCTCACTCTGCCATGAGATTTCAAGACGTTTGTGTTAAATACAGTTGGAAACCGACAACCATTGCCACCATTGCGAGATGGAAAAGTCGTTTTCTTTTTGTTCTCTCATTTTTCTGTTTTTGTTTTAGCAGGAAAGGCCGAGCTTTACTGGGTAATGTACTGTGTAAGCAAGGGAAATGGCATTGTTGAGGAGAGCTCATGTAACAGTAATATCCTGTCTAAATTGAATTTGGAGTTCAATCAGAGCCATTAGGCCCCACACTGAGAAAGATAGAGACAGATAGTGCCATGCACTCCTTAAATGAGTAATGCTTCCCCTGAACTGAAGCATCAAATTTGCCCTAATATTATTAATACATAAGCAATGGGGCGTGGGCGATGCTGGGTGGGACACAGAACTGTGGACATGTGGAATTACAGCAGGCATGTGTTTTTATAAGCCATTGATGACTCTAAAAGCTAGAGTGGATGTACTGTAATGATCCACTCAGCTCAAGCACAATGAACAACTCAAATGTTCATTGAGTAAATCATTTATGAGAGAAGTTTTGTCTGACTACTGTAGGAGTACAATAAATCAGTATCTTTGAAAGAATGGATTTTTTAAATAGGGCAAGTGATCAATTCTATCACAGTAGCCTCATGTAAACATGCACCCTAAAAAATGCTGGGTTAAATCAACCCAAATATGGGTCAAATATGGACTAACTCAAATGTTGGGTTAAAAATGCAATTAAAAAAATTACTGTTGAAAGTTTAAGTTTGAAATTACACTTTAACCCTACATTTGGGTTTGTCCATATTTTACCCAAATTTGGGTTCAAACGACTGAGCATTGTTTAGAGTGTTTGGAAGCTTGTTTCCGCCACAGAATGAAAAATAAAAAAGGTAATTGCGACTTTTTATCTCACGATTCAGACTTTTTTTCTCACAATTGCGAGTTTACATCTCGCAATTCTGACTTTATTTCTCAGAATTGTGAAATGCAAAGTCAGAATTATGAGATATAAAGTCAGAATTACGAGATATAAAGTCAGAATTACGAGATATAAAGTCAGAATTGCGTGATATAAAGTCGCAATTGCATGTTATAAAGTCAAAATTGCGAGATATAAAGTTAGAATTGCTAGATATAAAGTCGTAATTGCGTGTTATAAAGTCAGAAATGCATGATATAAAGTCAGAATTGTGAGATTTAAACTAGTCTTTTTTCCCCTTAGAATTGGCCTGATAACTCGCAATTGCGAGTTTATATCTCACAATTCTGAGAAAAGATGTCCGAATTTCGACATTCGACATAAACTCACAATTATGAGTTATAAAGTCAGAATTGTGAGATAAAAAGTCGCACTTCTGTCTTTTTTTTCGCAGAATTGTGACTTTATATCACGTAATTCTGACTTTATATCTCGCAATTCTGACTTTATAACACGCAATTGCGACTTCATATCTCGCAATTGTGAAATAAAAAGTCGCAATTATTTTTTCTTTTTTTTATTCAGTGGCGGAAACAAGCTTCCATAGTGTGTATTAATAGTCAGTGAAACAAATTACTTGGATTTTTTACTTCTCCGACAAGATCGTATATAGGAACATAAAAGTTTTCTTAAAGGAACAGTACAGCCAAAAATGAAAATCCTGTCATCATTTACTCACCCTCGTCTTGATTTGGTTCAGTTCCAATTGTACTATTGTAGCTTTGGCCCATATAATGGACGAACGTAAAGTTTCCACAGAAGTAAGAAACTCGTACAGGTTTGGAACAACACGAGGGTGAGAAAATAATGATTGAATTTTAATTTGTTGGGCAATCGATAAATCGATCTAAATACTAGACATAAATTATCTTTTTGTTTTGACTGCGTTCTAAATGGGTCTAAAAACCATGACCTGCTTTCTCAAAAAGGAAATAATTAGTGTGCTTTTCAAGCATATTAGGAAAGGTATTGAATCTTTACATGCGTATTGAGGCAATACATGTGCTGTTCTAAACAATACACATTTTGAGACACAGCTGGTCCTCAATTTGTTATTCCTTACCATTATTTGTGGTATTATTACCATTATACCACTTAGGTCATTATTTTGCAGTTTGCTACTACAAAACCAGCTGTCCTTAAAGCAAAGCACTGACAGAAAAACACTTATTTTCCCTATGCAGTGTTTGCGTTAATGTTAACACGTCTGTTTCTTTCGGGAATGACTCCATAGTGCTGCGAACAAATCGAGCGGTCCCCTCCTCTCCTTAGAAATGGTAACTAGAGTGTGCTAAACTGGGTGTTTCATCCCATTGGCTCATTATCGCGCTGGGTTCATTGCCAATAATAAAGATTTCTTGGGCTGCGAGACTTCTGAATTCAGAGGAAATTACATTGAGCAACAGGGAGTGCATGGCTCTAAATGTTTAATTACGGCGGATAAAAACAAGGGGATCAATCACTGACAGCAACGAGGGCCCTGCGAGGCATCTGCCATTGGGTTGTGTTGAGTCCACAGGAATGAAGCAGGAGATATACGGCATCAAAGACGAGACGGGTTGAGATGAATAGATATTCTCCTACAACACTCAGAGGAATGAGAAATCACAAGTGAGATCTCAATGTTTCAGTTGTTTTTTTTCTAGACAGCAATTGGGGGGGGGGGGGGCTGCACACTGTAAAATTGATGTGGTTCAGATAACATCATATTTTGAGTTTCTGTTGATTAAACCAATCTTCTTCATTGTATTAACTATTTTTTAACAAATTTCAATGAACTTAAAATTAAGGCAATCAGGTTACTTTAAGTTTAAACAACAGTATTTTTTACTGCGGGCAATTTATATTGCACGTTTCATACACTATTCAAAGTGCTTTACAGAAATGAATTTAAATAATCACAAAATAAAAGCAAATTAAAACAGTAATGAAAGAAATTAATGAAATGAATTAAAAGAATAAAAAGATGATGCATAGATAAACTTCTCATCTGTCATTTTTTTCACAAATATGTTTTACTCCCAGTTTTACTGAGAGATTTTTCCATGGTGCACAACGCATTCTCATCCCAAGGCGTCATATACGACGCTTTTGCCAATACGTAGACATCCAACGCACATGGCACCCTTTAGCGTCAATATAACACACTTCGGTTATGGGTAGGGTTAGGTCTGGTGTAGGGTTAGGGTTAGACCACTAGGAGGCGCCTTCTACCCCATATATATCTGATATCTATTTTTAGATATCTTTATATGATCTGAGACCTCATAAAATGATCTCTTTATATCTCAAACAATGACATTAAATTAAGCTAATATAAATTGTCTCTTACTTAATAGATTTTTTTCAGTTTTAGTAGACATCACAATGTCACAAATATGCTCTTATTTTCCTACAGACATAAGTCTGAAATTAGTTATCAGATTTCAAAATGAATATGAAATATTTGCTCATCAAACATGAGTTATGTCCTCATTATTTTTAGCTCTATACTTACTTTAGGAGGAACATCTAAAACATACTGTAGTTGATAGTATGTCTCTGATCAATAAAACTTTCCTTTGAGTTTGTCTCTTGAAAATGACTTCAGAGTAAACTTAATTGCTGTTAATTTCTAGGCCAAATCATTCATGAAAGGAGGAAAGCAACAGAGATACAACCGGCATATGGAGACGGCAGAACGCTCTCCACTCCAAGACAGCAGAGGAAGATGGAGAGAGGCTGAAAGAGAGCAGGTCTGGGCAGGCAGCGATGGCGATGCGTCAGTGGTGCTCCAGTAAGGGAGGGTGATGTGTGTGTTAGTCTCCTGGGTGCCATGTTTCTGTCACCCCCTGTCTGAGTGAGTCACGACTGGATTCTGGTAAGGACCGTCACCGCACTTCCTCACAGCTTCCATTAAGAACTCACTCACATCTCGCCCCAAAAACCAACTCATTTCACCTCAAAATCCAATATCAGGATGATAGAATCTCCCTGACTGAAGACAAAACAAAAGTTAAGTGCATTTCAAAAAGGCAACACTATTTTACATTGGTGTCATAAACGAAATAAAAGAACAATTCTTCTGGGAGGCCTTGAATTTACAGTTAAATTATATCAACACACACTTAATTTCCTTTTCATAATATTCACTTTTTGCCATCATCATTCATTTTAGAAGTACAAATATTCCACATTAACTATCCAAAATATTTGTTGATCTTATATAAGTACAGTTTTGAACGAGCCTATATGTATATGTTTCAATTGGATTTACTTTTTTAAAAAACGGATTAAAAACGTATAATGTCATGTCATGTGTATGCGTATTATACATATATGAGGCATTTTTAGATGGAAATTAACTTTCCAAAAGTATTTTTTGTCAAATTCCTTTATTCCAGGTGAGCCTATTGCAATACACACACACACACACACACACACACACTTGGTTGCTGATTTGCTGACTACATTTATTGGTCCATTAGTTGTTTATACACTGTAAAAAAAATATTGTTGGTTTAACTTTAAAAAAAGTAACCTGGCAGCCTTAAAATTTTAAGTTCATTGAAATGGAAAAATTGAGTTAATACAATGATTTAGTCATCAGAAACTCAAAATCTTATGTTATCTGAAGTTGATTTGACAAAAATAAATAATGTTGCAATTACAAATCATGAAAATATTTTTTTACCGTGAGGTCCTTGATTTTGTGCAAAATTTTACTGTGAAGTGATTTATGCGATAAAGCAGATCCTCCTCAGTACTATTTCTGTTTATGAATTTGTGTTGCATTGTTGATGTTTCCATCGCACAAACATTACAAAACTGATCACGTATATGAGTTTGATGCCACTGTAGTGCTGAAAGCAGATGGCAGTATTCATAAGAGCTGTGTGTGTGTGTGTGTGACTCCACTCACACTCGGCCCACTCCCTCAGTGTCATGTGCTGCAGAAACCGCCAGAACATTTTGAAAATGTGTCATCGATTTGGCAACGTTGCAACTTCAGTTCACTCTCCACAACTACGTAAATATCGGATCACTCAGGGGTAAACACTAAATGAGTGCCAGGTATAATGATACACCAGCAAACCAAGCAGAAAGAACCAGGCAGATTAAAAGAAAACAGAAAAATAAAGAGCAATGAGGATGTTGACATTTAATTAACTTCTTTTTGGGATGAATCAAAGCCAGTACATGCATTACATTGGCTTTGGTTTCCGGGACAGCTTCTTGCGGTAAACATATGCTAAAATGTAGGAAGGGGTTTTCAGTCAGAGCCTTTGAGGAGAAACTCAGGGCCTTGATTCTGTTCATCTTGTGAAAATGTCACAGCACCGCTGTGGTTTCACACACTTAGATGGGTGACATGTCCAATGATCTGATCCTGTAATGGAGCGAAGGCTGCATAGAAATGTCCCACTCATCTGCAAGCCTCTCCACATGAAAAAAGCAGAATGTGAAAATTTGACACATCTGCTGTAATATGATGTTCTGTTAATGTAGTTTCAAAGGGACTCCGGCTCATAAGACATTCTGGAGATTTTCTTTAAAGTTTATATAAACACAGATAAACAAAACTGCATTCATTCAAAAATGCACCGGCCACACATTGTCATACACTATATACGTTTTAGATACAAAAACTGTTCAATTTGGATTTAGTTCTTAACATTTGAGATGTAAGGAATAAGCCACTCAAAACCATTTCATATTTTTAAAATTTTATAACATTGAAATATGAGTTAACTTGATTTGGATACAGAAATAAACTTACATATTACCTTTCCAGAGCTGTCTTGCCTCTGAACAGTTTTTCTTATAGTGGCACATAGATCAATGGTCAATCCATGGACAGAAGACACAAATAAAAAGCAAGCGCTGGGTGTGGTTAAAGCCTTCTGGTCAAACAGGGGTTGGACAATGAAACTGAAACACTGGCCAATATATTTTTGGAGGTTTCACACCTATATGTCTATATATCTACACTGATTTAATGAAACAGTTACGTCTCGCCTAACAACAAGCCCCACATCCCAACATAAATGCTGTTGATATTTGTTATTAAAGTGGCTATGTTCACAGACCACTATAATTTGAACAGAAGAGCAAACATACTATGATTTTGCATGGCAGCCAGTTCAAATAATAAATAACCATTGCCTTACATAATACAGCAAAGTTTCCTTCAAATTCTGAATGCATTATACTGTACATCGCCTAAAGGGTGCAAAGAGCGCTCCCTTTATAATCACTACTAAAAAGCTGTCACATTAGCCTGGCATGCCAGACCTACATCAAGATGTTAGGTCTGGGAACTCATCATTGATAGGGCTCAATCCGAGGGACGGGATAAACGGTTGTTTTTTAAATTCTCTCTGCACGCAATTGGATAGCACTACTACAACCAATCAGAGCAAAGAAGAGGGTGGCAGCTGAGTCCCAATGCGTTTTCCCACCAGTGGAGCAAGTTGATATATTACACTTTTACCGTATCCAGTCGGAAAAACTCCGAACACATCTTTTTTTTTTCTTTTTTTTTTTTAATGACTCAAGTGTCGTTCTTTGGTTTCAAAGAAAACCTTAAGTTCAAATCATCCAGGGTAGCGTCAAAGCCGAATCGAAAGACAGCTGTTCGCCAGCAGTAGCACAATTAGCAGTGAACCGTCGCAACTCTGTCGTCATTATGTTAAGCCCGCCCACCGACTCTATACACGATGTGATTGGCCTGACCAGAGTTTGTTTTTTCCAGCTAAAATGTCTATGGAGAGTTGCTAGACCACACTGGCTGCGAAATATTTTTTGCTGCCACTAGGGTGCGTCTAGATTTCTAGCCTAGTCACTCATCTCAATTCATTGCGATCTCACAAAGTTCCGCTAATCGATTAAGCTGACTGCACAATGGATCTCTTATTTATCCTACATGTCTACGCTTTGGCTGTTCTAACTTTAACACATCTGATTGGCCATTGCGTTCAAGAACTCAACAGATATTGTAATTGGCTACATTGCTCAATGCTTCAAAACACACAGTAAATAAACCTTTGATGCTCTCAGTAGCGCAATCACCAAATCTGTTTTGCTAATATGCTATTATTGCGCAGAAAACTGATCCTAGACAAGCTTTTCCAACGTATTCTCATTCCAAGGCGTCATAGACATCCAACGCACATGGCACCCTTTAGCGTCAAATGAGACGCTTTGGTTGTGGTAGGTTTAGGAATGGGGTAGGGTTATGGTTAGACCACTAGGAGGCGCCTTCTGCCCCATATATATCTGCGTCTCATTTGACGCTAAAGGGTGCCACGTGCGTTGGATGTCTACACTTTGGCAAAAGTGTCGTACATGACGCCTTGGGATGAGAACAGGCTCGCTTTTCCCTCTATCAGAAGTCAGTGGTTTGAATGAGAAAATGTAACTTTACGCTCAAGTCATTGGCCAGCCTTACACACACTCCACATATGAGGGTAATGCCAGTATACCACCACGTAGGACGAACCACTTCTAACAGGAGTAACTGTCAACGCAAGAGGAAGCTGTCTGATCCAGTTACTAACCCGGATTGTATCCAAAAAACCACAGCTGCCCAACTCAATGGAGAATGTTTCCACCAAAAATGTTGGTTTGGAGCTCAAAAGCCAAACATTTGGTCACTCGTGCCAATGCCAAATGTGGTGCCGCAGTGTAAATCTTGAGCTGTGGACAATGTGGAGCACGCATTGATCTCTGATGAGTTCATCGGGGAGAGTCACGGTGCGGAGAAGCACCAAAGAGACTGAACATCCAGACTGTTGCTGCCCAGAGTGAAATCTGTGGATCTGTGATGGTTTGGGCTGCAATATCATGGCATTCCCTACTGTGCTTGATTGGCACATCACTGCCAAGGACTTCCGAACCATTGTGGAGGACCATGTGCATCTAATGGTCCAAACAATGTACCGTGAAGGGAGTGCATGATAATGCTCCAATACACGCAGCAGGACTTGTGACAGACTGGTTTAATAAACATGAAAGTGAAGTTGAACATCTCCCATGGCCGTCACAGTCACCAGATCTAAATATCTTTGAGCCACTTTGGGGTATTGTGGAGGAGCAAGTCTGAAAACGCATGGAAGTCAGCATCACATAGAGATCTGGCAACTATTCTGGAAGAGGAATGGCTCAAAATCCTTCTGGCCACTGTGAAGGTCTTGAATCTGTCATTCCCAAGACGAATTGATGCTGTATTAGCCCGCAAAAGGAGGCCCTACATCATACCAATAAATTATTGTGGTCTAAAACTAGGTGTTTCGTTTCATTGTCCAACCACTGTAAATACCCAGTGACAAGCAATAATTTTGCTTTGTCAGCACTGACAGACCGAGACCATGATGAGATTGGTGGAGTCCCTTGACATCGAGCTGTTCACAATTGATATGTGACAGCAACACAGAGAGAGGGATGTTTCAAAGCATTTTATGCTCTGCTGTGTGTCATGCTTTGTGTAATAAGAGCAAGAAAACCCATTTCAATCAGATGTTGTGTTATTGACTTTAAAGGGATAGTTCACCCAAAAATTGAACACCGTCATGGAGTTACAAACCAGTGTTACTTTATTTTGTGAATCCCAGAAGGCGAAGTTGAGCAGAATGGTCACGCTGTCCTTTGCATAGAATAAAGTGAGTGGCGGCCGCAATCACCCTCTAAAAAATTACATACTGCACCATAAAAGTTATCATATAACTATGACTTGGAATATAGCAAGGATACCGTCACAGTATTTTAGGTAATTTTTGAGAGCCTCTGGTCACGATTCACTTGTGAACATCCTGCCCGAAAATCTTCTTTTCTGTTTCATGGAAGAAAGAGCATTGAAAGGGTTTGGAATGAGGGCAAAAATAAATAATGAGATTTTTTTATTTTGTGTGAACTATCCCTTTAAATGTTCTCTAACGCGCTCTGAAACAGTGAAACCCACTAGAGTGGCAGATTTTCCAAACAACCTTTGCTGGTTTTTAATAACCAGAAAATAATTTGCATGAGAGAGCATCCAATTTACATACCTAGTTGCCTTTGTGTGTGTGTGTGTGTGGGAGAGAGAGTGTTTTAAAACAGATTTTGTTATAGGAGCTTAGATTGTAGACTTTATTTTCTCTCTTTCAAGTTTCAGTTTTCACTGGGTTTTATTGGAATGACAAATAATAGTGCTACAAAAACCGCAGTAGGTTAGACGCTCACTGTCTTTATCTCATATTTTATGTTCCATCCTCAACTGGCATGTGGATTGAGTCACATGATCTTGCAGTGGTAATATTAGACAGGTTTAGATTACACACACCCTCTCAATCTCGTCATAATAATCCTCACATGTACGCTTTCTGCCTTGTTTGAGGGATCTTCTTCCTAGGGATGGCAGTAGTGGCCTGTCAGTTCAGTAACCCAAAGAAAGAGCTGATCAAACCACACATGAAACACTGATAACACCATAACAACAAAGAAAATGTACTACCTATAGTTTATGAGTTGTTTCTTTGAGTATCTACTTTGTCTCAGATGATTCTCCTAACATTCTAGTTAAATAATTGTTGAGATAGAGTTGTAAAATGAACATGGATCGCATAGCTCAGATAGTTTAGTCTTGTAACAATTTGATGATATTCATATTGAGATCTTGTGTTTTTGTTTAATTATTATTATTGCAGACTTTGTTGTCTTTTAGCAGGGATTGAAACATTTTTTGAGATCTCTTGTGAGAATGAAATTATTGGGAGCTAATATTTAGGAGCTGCCTGGGAGAAACCATTGTGATTTTACAGAGGTTTGTGATTTTCCTTTACTATGCATTTCTGTTGTTTTCTGAAGGTTGGCGTTACAGTAATGTTGAATTGTGAAGAACATGGTATTGCTCTTTAACTCTTTCCCCGCAGAGTATAGAATCCCCTGATCAAAAAACAGGCAAAGAAGCAGCAGAACCAAGCGATACAAGCATCACCATTACACGGCATATAATTCAAAACTTCCTAACGTTACCAGATGAAATATCGACCTAGAAAGAGATATAGGACTGTGAAGCTTTGAGCGTGGTGATGGAAGTGATTTATGTTCCAATCTAGACGTCTTTCACATAAACCGTTGAGATGACAAGAGTAACCCAGCAAACAAATTTAGGTTCTGGGAACGTTAGTTTTTGGTTCCCAGAACGTTCCTAGAACTTTCCCTTTAGGTTAGGGGAATGTTCCCGGAACAGTCTCCTTACGTTATAAAAATGGAACCTAAAAATAACCTACATGGAATGTTCCTATAACGTTCTTGTTTGGTTCCCCAAAAAATAACCTCAAGGGACCATTTGGGAACGTTAGGAGAATGTTCTGTGTTATAAAAATTCAAATATACAATAGTTCCGATAATTTGGTCTTGAAAGATTTGTGAGAAATATTGAACTTTGTCTCAGAGGTTTCTTCTTAAAATTCCTGAATGAATGATTTGATGAGAAATGTTTGAATTCATATTGAGATCTACGGTACACTTTGCCGTTTTGGCAAATCTGAGCACAGTTTGAGATCACTTCGTAAACTCCAGAGGATCTCCTAAAATTCCTTTTGGGAGAAATAAAATAGACACAATAAGAGTAAAGAGCTAGACAATGAATCATGCATTCATTTTGAGATCTCAACAAAGTATCAACTTTTAAGTATGCCTATTAAAAGTTAAGATTAAAGAACGGTGCTGTGCCGTCTATATTGGATCTGACAGGAATTGTGCAACACACGAACTCTGGGTCGAACATGTATGGGCGAATCATTCCGGTTGCCATTTTACAACATTGGACGTTTTCAAAACAATTACAAGTACATCGACGGGTGAGTTGAAACTCATTATAATATGCAAAACTGTTATCCACTCACAGCAGTGGGCGTTAACTTCCAAATCTTCAGTGCGAGACACCCAAAAAAAACGAGCGTTTTTCAGCTAGGCTCAAAACTAGGGTATAAAAAAGCCTATTACTTATTCATTTTGATGTTTCTGAATGTAAAAACCAAGCGAACGTCATAAGTTGACCTCAGACAATAATATAATAAAATTTAAAAAGCCAGTTCATGACCCCTTTAAAGGCACTCTATGCAAGATCTGTACCTTAATATAACAGCTTCAAAGTCGTTTTGGTGGTTAACAAAGTCATAGTAGGGCGAATCATCCTGGTAGGAAAGCTTGGGGGGGGGACGCCGCCGGAAAAACCAGCCATGCAAGTTTGAGAGTGGCGCCCCTGACACAGCGCGTGAGAATCACGAAATGGTTTACGGCAACGACGTCACACGCATCAACAACATCATACTGTATGAAGCTACTTTCGAAACAGGGAAAGAGAATCGGACCGTGCTAGAAACCGGACAAGAGTCCACTCGGTCGGGCTTTCACTCGTTGGCGCGAGCTTAAAAGCTGCACTGGATTGTAACTGCGATGCTGACCTGGCGATCTTGTTGATGGACTTGTAAGTAAATCTCTTATTTATGAACTTGTTTGTATTTGTATACTAGTTGTTTCTATATTGTATGTTGCTGCACTGGCTTGTGGTATGTAATTTTTTACGGTGCTGTTCGTTCATCCGTTGTTGATAATAAGACCAGTTCAATAATTCTCACATGTCTATAGCTTTCGATTACCAGAGCTTTAAGCAGACTTCCTAAAAACAGTCGTTTCTCTTAGTCTTGTTGTTTTTTCCGTTATGTTTTATTGCCGAGCTTGCCACAAGGGCTAGTTTGCCAGCTGAACGCAGGTGTTGTGATGTGTATTTATCATGTATCTTTAGTCCTGTGTCTGGTTCGGATTTCTTATGACGTGTGTAAGTTACTGTTATATCAAGTTTATCTGACTAACAGTACACTTCCCGGCTGTAACTTCAAATTGTGTTGATTATGAATCAATCAAATCTTGACGCTGTTGATGTTGATTCTTGCGATTACCATGAGGACATAGTCAATATCTCACATAATTATTAGGACATATATAAGCCTAGAGGTTGTAAATAATTGAACACAATTTGCTATTATGATAAATTGTAATCATGTCTAAATCATAACGTCCAATGTTATGAAATAATGCGACGTACATTTAACTTGATTGATGTCATCTGACATTTTGTAATTTTAACATTACAATCAAAAAACATGAATGAAATTATACAGTAGCCTATACACTATAGGCTATTTACTTCTGATTTTGCAGAAATCATGTAAAAACGCTATAAGCCAGCAAACGCGATAGGCAACTTTATTATTAAAAAGCAGTCTAGCACTTGACAGTATATGCAGTAACAGGGGAATAACGGTTATTTACGACAGTGCAAGTACACCACAGCGGCTCTAGAGGTCACTGTTTTACAAAAAAACCAGAGAGTGCATAGTGTGCCTTTAATATTGGAACGAATAAGACTGAACACTTGGTTAATCTGATCACAGTTTGAGACATTGAGAGTTCTTCTAAAACTCCAGGGAAGAAGCATGTGAGATTCTAGGGTCTTTTTTAAAGAGAAAGATCAAGAAATCTCTCAAATTCACCTCATAGACAGTAGAAACATGAGATTTGAAGAGCTTTTTTTTGTTGTTCCTATTGATCACCAATGTGGCAAAACCAAAGAAAAAAAGCACAAATCAAATATCGAAAGTCACCGCAACCTCATAAAATGTTTCAAACAGTGTCTAAAGATACCCCCCACCCCAAATGCACAGGTAGCATATGTATAAACACGGGGAATTATTCGAACACATCTCTGTGTTGTTGGTATCAATGTGAGAATGAAAGCATGGTGTTTTAGCTGTCAAATGTTGCTGTTTTTTTTTTCTTCTTGTTTACTGCTCCACGGTCTGTCAGCCGTGGCCTGCGGTACTTCTTTCTTTAATAATACATCTCAGAGTGAGTAATGCCATTTGGATACAGGGAGCTCCGCGCCTGGCCTTTGCTCCCTGCACCTCTCCTCTCTCTATCCCTGGAGTATGCTTCAACCCACGTACGTTTGAAGGAATTCTATTTGCTGGATGCCCGCGTGCTCGCGCGCGCTCGCGTATGTGTGTTTATAAGCTTGTTGAATTGAAATACAGCCGGGCGAGGTGGGGAGGGGTGTTGTTTTATTGCAAGGATAGGTGAATATCTCTCTCTTCAGCTCGCACGAGCCACCAGGCAAATAAATTCAGAGCATCAAATTTAAATAAATCATTTTTTTTTTTCACCCCCGTATACATTCCGAGGCGAGGATATTTACAGCAGCGAAAACAGCTGCTAATGAACTAATGCGTCCACCACGCTGGGCGACTCGGGGGAAAAAATAGCACGCTAATAGCCGGTCATGTTCTAAAACAATCCACGGGGGAACGTCTGATCACTCTGTCTTTACCTTCCGTTAGTTTATGGCCTGAAACGGGACTGAGTTGATCATAACCATGCAGAGAGTGCCAGGGCCCAGAGCGGCTCTTTATTGTAGATGTCTAGTATTAATGTATCTCGTTCTCTTCTGAAAGTCGATTTCAATTACTTCAGCGTGGCCAAACAAAGGGTGTTAGCAGACATGGCCTCTTCCTTCCCTCTCATAACACTCTCACCTTAATTGCTACATTGTGAACGAGGGGGAGATAAAAAGAAAGAGAAGAACGGATGGATTTTTTCATCTCCTGTTAGGCCTACGTCTGTGCCGAGCTCATCTGGCCTTAAAACCGAGTCAGCCGGGCTTTTGTGAGGAATTCTCACCTCCTCCATTTCTCCCTTATCATCACTGATCTGCTTTGTTTCATGCCTAACGTTTAGACGACTATAGCTTGATGAAGCGTTATTTGTTATTCCTGCAATAATTGCGCTGCAATGTGGTCCAGCTGTCTGGGCCTTCCTGTTTGGACCGTGACGAAATGGTCAACAGGGGGCAGTAGACCGCTTTCAATAGCGTGAAATTCAACATGTCTGATTCCTTTGTCTGCTGGTCTGTTAAAAGCCAGTTACCAGAGCTGCTTTCTTTTGCCATTTACCTTGAATATTGAATATCATATTGATATTATTGAAGCGATTTTTATCAAAGGTGACGAGGTGGAGTTGGAAATGATGGCGATTGGGAGCGGGTCTTCAATATAGGCTACGTATATGTATGTGTGTGTGTGTGCACAGTTGCCTTTTCAATAGAGTTGAATGGAAGCAGATGAATCATATTTCATTCAATACAACCTTATACATCCAAAAAAATTGTATGACTCATATTATTAGTCAAAAATGTGAAGGAAATCTTGTTTTTAAGGGATTTTACTTGGTAAGGCATGTTTCCATAGAGATCAAAGTCATGTTGTATGGATTGATGATTCACATCTATTCGTTGGGAATAATCTCAGATATGAAGAAAGCATCTTTCAAACAATTTTAGGCCTTTTTAATTGGAAAATTAAATTCAAAATGTTCCTTACACTTTAAGATGGATACTGACTGTTTTCCACTCTGACAGAAGCACAAATCTAGCCTAATAAGCGTCTGTGTGTATTCACGATTAAATAAACAATATATTATTTTGTTTCTCTGTGCCTACAGTGCCGTGTCAGTCACCATATGCCGGAAGAGAGGAGCAGGGAGTCGTATCGCGATGGTAGTTTTTTGGTGGTGTGAGATAAGGGGGGGGGGGAGTCAGAGCCGAGGGCTCACGGTGCATGTAGCACATCAGATCTCCCTCAATTAATCCAACATTAGGTGCCTGGGATCCACGAGTCAGTGCTTTTGGAAAGCATGTGTGGCTCAAATCTAATTATTCTCTCCCTTCCTTTGAGCCGGAGAGGGTGGAGAGATATATAGAGAGAAAGAGAGAGAGAGTGGCCATCCACGTAGCTATAGGTTTTGTTATGCTGTGATTTCTCTCTCTCCCTCGCTCGCCCGCTCACTCCGAACCCCCTTCTTCCCCCACCTCCTCCTCTCTCTCACTCATTCTCCATCTCTCTCTCTCACACACACACACGCGCCAAACACACTCTCTCTCTCTCCTCCTCTCCCCGTCTGTCTCTCCCTCCCTCAGCTTCACTCGCTCTTGTGCTGTAAGTTCATTTGCTGTGTCAAGCAACAACTGGCTCGGGAGTGGGCAGTGGGTTTTGATCCTTTTGTCAAGCGTCCCCTCTGTGAACGGGTACCGCGTCCACCTGCACACCACAGGACTCGCTCCATCATCGGCGTACCGTCCTGGGTTTATCACCATCAGGCATCCCACCTTGCTTAGGCGGGCGGCACGACGAGATGCTCAAGGTTTGACGGGGTAAGTCGCATCCACATGTGGACTCACATCGTGATTGTTTTATGTCAGTGTGTGATTGGGTAAACGTTTTATTATTTTTTGAACATTTTTGTCATTTTTGCCGGTGTGGTCTACACCTTCTGATGCTTGTGTCAAGTGTCTCGTGAAATTACCATATTCATGGGCTCCATTCAATTAAATTGCAATCAGTGAAGGGTCCAGCTCGAAGTGTTTTTTTTTTTTTTTTTTTTTGTGCAGGGTGGAATAGCGCAGATCGCTTGTTTAGAAAGGGAGGAGCGGAGAGAGGTAGAGAATACAGATTTGGTCATATGTTTTGCTGCTAAACTTAAAAATATATACATATATATACATTTTGAAATAAAAAAGACTGAGTGAGCTCTTGCATGAAGAGAGTAGAATTAAAAAACTGTAGGACCAATAGGCTATATATATATATATATATATATAAATATATAATTCAAGGGAGGAAAAAAAAAAAAGAGATGCTCCCAGAGGAACTTTGGTAAAGACAAACAAACCCAAAAAAAAAGAAAGAAAAAAAAGCACAGAATCTATGCATGGAGACCATTGATTAACTCCTGGAGTTCTAGGGGGGTTTGGACGAGGGTCGAGTCCCTGGGTGTGTGTGTGTGTAGCTTCAGAAATGGACAGAGAAAGCAAGAGCCCTGGGGCTATAGCACTGGGGGAGTGTGCCCTGCGTCAGGGTGCCTGTGTGTGTGTGTGTGAGAGGTGCGTCTCATGGTTTTGCAGACTGGGGGTCTGGAGAGCGAGCGAGCAGCCGACTCCTACACTGCCGGTGTGTGTCCGTACGGTGGCTTTTGTTGCGTTTGTGCTCGAGTCCAGCTTCTCCCTCTCCATCTGCCTCCGTTAGCTTCTCCTCCAGTTTCTCTCTCTGTGTCGAGAACTGATTGTGTGTTTCTCGTTTTGTGAATGATCGGTATAAAAAAGAAAAATATTTTTGGGTAGATATGCAGACTATAATTATGTAGGTTTTTTTTTTTTTTTTTTTTAAGTGGAGTCTTTTTTTTGCAGGAAATAGAGGAAAATATGATAATAATAATAATAATAATATAAAATGTATAATCTTACAAATTATTATTATTTTCTTTTATTTTTGGTAGAAATTGTGTTAATTTGTTTTTAAATTATGAGTCATTTTGATTGACTGTGTTTTATTGATCAAAATATTATTCTGGATATTGAGAAAAAAGCTAATTATATAAAATATTGGATACTCATGTTATTGCAAGAGAATAAAAAAACACCTTGAAATCGCCTATTTGTTTAAAAAAAAATTGTAATGATCCTAATGGAATTAGTTAAAAAGTGCAAATTTTCTTATTTTATACAAAACAGGCAGCTGAAATAACAGTACGATTAGCGTGACACCACAATAAAAAAGCTAAAATAGCTAAATGCACTAAATTACATTCAATGTTAATGCATTTTCAAGATAACCTGTTTTGCCATAAAATGCACATGATGCGTTTATACAAGTTGCAATTTTTTTTCTTCCCTAGTCGAAGAAGCGTTCTCTCATAGACTAATCACACAGTTTAGCCCCCACCTCCTTTTTTCCCTCCCCCGTCATCCTCAAGTGGGGTGTAGAGGGGGGCCGCCATGCTTCATTTGAGTCCGTGTCTCCATATAGAATTGTCCTCACGGTGCTAATGGACTGTTTGGCTAATTTTCCCCCCCGTTTCTATATCATTTAGACAGATGAGATGTGCAGCATGTGACGAAGTGGACCATAGTAGGATTTTATATCCTAACCCCCGGTGGTCTGTGTTTTTAGGTGAACCCGCTACAGTGGACTATCGTCATCATCAGAATCCCCGCCGAGGCAATGGGAGTCAAGACATGGAGGCTTCCCGGAGGACCTCCGCTGGGTCCTTGCATCCCAGGTGAGTTTATGCTGTTGGGGGGGGTGGATTACCCATAACCCCCTTCCACCACTTCCCATCCCCCGCTCCTTCATTAAATGCACCTTTCCCCCCGAGTGGCCCTGTGAGAGCACAGATTGCTGGGAGGAAATAGCACAAAAAAAAAAAACACACTTATATTTCCTCTGAGGCGTTTACTGAACAAAAATGCACTGTTAATTTCTGTTTGCAGACGAGGCGTTGAGGGGCCCTTGCCTTGCGCTACAAAGCGTCTTCAATCAATTGTTTTGAAAAGGCCGCGTTTTCCGAACGGCCGCGGACGATGCCGTCGTTTCTCTCAGTAAAAGACTCTCTTCGGTGACGGGTATTCTTGGGTGGATAATACGGCTCTCGTTGTTATTGCTTAAGAATACGCGTAGTCGAGGAGAGTCATACCGGCGGCGCCTGCAATGGACTAGAGAGAGCGTTGAATCCAGAAGGCCCACCTGCCTGCACACACACACACATGCGTTTGCTAACGCCGAGGTTCACGCCCACATCCATTTATTGAGTCAGCGAAGCTGCATTTCCTGTTGTGTGTGATGCTTGTGCTGTTGATTTATCCGCCTGCTCCCACTAAACATCTTTTCAGCCACCGGAAAAGGAAAAACTGGGTTTTTGTTGTTGTTGTTGTTGTTGTTGTTGTGATTTGAGTTCTACGGCGTCTTCACCGAAAGGGAAAGCTGTATACTGTAACGTGCCGGGCGGGGTTGTAGATGCATTGCAAATGTGTTCGGTTTGTGCCTTATATTCTTTTCTCAGGACTGCACACACTCCACCTTTTTAATGCAAATTGATTTTGAAATGACATTTATTGTGCAGGGTTTCCATATGGAGGGCTGGAGAGAGAGAGAGAGAGAAATGGAATGAAATGTCCACGATGCCACTGACAGCTAAATTTATGCGGATTGTAAAGGAACACACTGCAGATAAACAGTTACCACGGCTTTAGATTGACTGCCATGTAGGCACGCGTATATCATGAATATGTATCAGGCGAGCGTATGATGCTGCATTCTAACATCCATGAAATCCATTTAGGGAACCTAATAGGATCTACTCGACTTATGAAAGCTTACGATCGGGTCTGATAAATATACATGAGATCGCTTTATAAGAAAGTATTCTTTTGCTTTTTAGACTTTTTGCATAAAAAAACAAACAAATAGATTGCATTTGGACCGGCTGTTGATGTATTGACGCGGACGATTTGTAAATCTGCAAACATTTTAATTTGTTCTCCATTATCATTCAGCACATTTAAGTGATGTATTAGCATTTCAGATAGACTAAAGGCAACAATCAGCCCGCTCTATCCTTGATCACTCTGTAATTATCGTTCTTTCGGCTATGTGTTTAAATGAATAGAGAGAAAAGAGGTGCGGAGGAGGAATATTGTCACGGTTTACCACTAGGGGACCCACACAACTGATTAGTTCAGATCAGTTTTTAGTCTAGCCAAACTTTTTTGGGGTGCATAAAAATATTTGTTTCGACGTAAATAGTTTTGGCAGCTTAAAAAGAATGTGTACACTCGCTATTTCATTTATTCCTTTATGCAGAACAGTGCCTTAGGAGTGGCAATTGTGAAAAAGGTCACATGCAACCCATTTGATCAATGGGTTTTTATATAGAATATTTATCTGTATTTAAGATTAAAATATGTTGTTGTTTTTTTTACTAAAATATCCTACAGCCTCATAGTTCTGAGTATAATAACAGAATTGCTCTCTTATTTAATTTTATTTGATGCTGTTGAGTAAATATCTCGCTGTTTAACTTCCATTTGTCTAGAGTTTATGACGTGATGAAATTATTCAAGCCTCTGCAGCTCCTTAATTTGCTCTTTATTCAAATTATTTTTATATGCACATCATCTATGTTCCCTCATATTATAAATAAAGCTTGATTTAAGTAAAATTATGATGCATTTTGTATATTTTGTCCCTTATAGGTGAAGAATCAGTTTGAATTTAGGTCATGAACAAATATGAAAGCCAATATATATATATATACAAACACAACAAACAAACTAACCATGAACAGAAAATTTGGGTTAATGTATATATATTCATACATAATATATTAGTTTTATTCTGTATACTGTTGGCTTCAAAAAGCATTTGTTACGATGTTGAAATGTATTTATATATAATTGCCTTGGATTCTTGACACCATTGAACCCTCTTTATTTGTTGTTGTCTGAGCTTGAAGCATTTGACAGCATTTGACATTATTTTTCAAGACACAATGTAGCTCCAAACAACAAAAACAGACAGTGTTTCCGGTTATCATCATATTAGAAAACGCTAATTAGCTTTTTGTGACAGGACAATGTCCAACTCTCTATATATGATTTTTCAAGTGTGAATGTGAATTCACTTAGTTGCAAAAAGCCTTAATTTTACAGACCAAACTTATCTCCACAGGGGCTTTAATGAATTTCAGAGGATATGAGATATTGACAAGAAGTGGAGCATGTTTATCAGTATTTTTTTTTAAACCTTTCTAGATATTGTCCACTTTGCCCATTCAAATCGAAACCAAATTATGTAAGCTTAGCAAATATTTAAGGTATGAATTATTCATTTATTCACATGACTGTATGATGGAGTATTAAATAGTGTTTTTTTCCCCCTTATTTTTGCAATTGATAATTCTTTGACTAATGTATAGTCCTTCAACTAACTGGTTTACAGGGATATTTTTCTTTTATAGGCTCAGCATTTTTAAGTAAGCTCTTTTATGGTATGTTTCTCCTTTTCTTGTGCATGACGTCATGATGCTCTATCATCCCCTGACTTCCTTCAGGATTATAATGCTCTTCTCCACAAATAACATTAGCATATGTTGCACTCATAGGAAACTCAACATTCAAAACTTTGGACACACGTAACTGAATTGGTGATTCTCCTTGTTTTAAAAACCCTTTAAAGGTTTATGTTTAAATGCTTGAAATTAGTTTATAGCAACCAAAAGTGGTGACTGTGGGGATATTTGTTTTCAATGACCAAGTTCAATTAAACCATCAATGTATGAGGGAAATATTTCATGTTTTATATATGAGGGAAGAACAAAACTTTAAAGTCGGTCAAGGTATTTATCTGACAAAATTATTTGGCAAAAAAAGCCAAACTACAGCTAGGTGTATTTTACTATGCAAAAAAACTGGATAGAAAAACCTACAACATAATCAGTTATTAATATTTGGTTGGTTCTCTACTCTGTAAAAAATATTGTTGGTTTAACTTTAAAAAGTAAGTAACCTAGCCTTAAAATATTAAGTTGATTGAACTGGAAAAAGTGAGTTAATGCAATCAAGGAGATTGATTTAAACATCAGAAACTCAAAATAATAAGTTATCTCAACTAAATAAATTATTTAAGTTGATTTGAAAAAAGAAAAAAAATGTTGTGATAACAAATCTTGAAAATATATTTTTTTACATTGTAGTTTTTACATGCGTTCATAATATCTTTTTCTGACATCCTGGTCAAAAATTATTTCCGAACAATTTAGCATGTTTCATTGCGTTATCAAAAATAAAACAATTTACTTCAAGCACAACCATGCAATATGCTTACAAATTCATGAACACATTTTTAAAAATATTGAAGGCTGTCAAAGACATCATTTTTTCACTTTAAATTTTACATGGCTTTCCGTGCAAAACCATTGTTTTTTAATTACTAATAATGGATAAAGTGGGCCATATAGTGAAGGAAATTAAGCAATGAATTTCAATATTGTTTAAAAGGCATCCCATGATTGTGAAGTTGGTTGAGCAACATACTTTTATCTCAGTATTTTGATGACTGTGCTTCTCAAATATGGAAAAGAATCAAACGAAAAGAGTCGGTGTGTCCAAACTTTTGACTGGTGGTGTTCCTTGCAACTTTCAACCACACCACATCAAAATCCTCACAACATTTCCATCAGTCAACTTTAGCTCTAAACCTCATCATCTCCAGCTTGTTGAGACTCACAGCATGTCCACTCCTTCCGGAGGCCTGATACAAGCCACTAAGCCTTGTTACTTTAATTACAGTCCTGCTTTGTATTCTTCCATAGGTGTGAGATCGGTTATCACGTGTATCGTTTCAGAGTTTAATTTCAGGCGGGAGGTGAAGCACGCTAAGCTAGTGAAGTCGAACCTGCAGATATCTTTAATAAGGTTACACTATGGATGGGCTTTAGGTTGGTTTAAATAGCCGCCTATGAAATGTACCCACATCAGTGGCTCGCTGATAGAGGCTTAGCAATCTATTTAAAAACCAATTTATTTCCACAGTATTGGAGCTGGTGCAGATTGAACGCCAGAGTGAGATTCTCCACTTCCAAATTCTCAGTGGACACCTCTCATCCCATTCTGGTGCAATCGCTCTCTCTCTCTCTCTCTCTTCATCTCCTCGCCTTTATCGCTCTTCTCTTCACAAACTCTGGTGACTTATATTCCTCCAAGAGCGTTCAGTAAAAACCCTGTCGGCCTGAAAAATCCCCAACGATGTCAAGATCACAGACTATACTAGAAAACACAGTTAAGGGCTTTCACTGACAGTATAGGAAATTAAATATTAGACACAAAGGGTGTCCGTTTGTCTGTTTTTGAAGTGTGTGCACTGCAAAAATCATTTTGTCTTGTTTTATATTATAGTAAAAAAAAAAAATCTATTTAATCCTTAGTATGCTACAAATACATTTGCATATTGTGACCCTGGACCACAAAACCAGACACAAGTTGCAAGGGTATATTTGTGGCAATAGCCAACAATACATTGTATGGGTCAAAATGATCGATTTTTCTTTTATGCCAAAAATTAAGTAATCATTAGGATATTATGTTCCATGAAGATATTTAGTAAATTTCCAACCGTAAATATATAAAACATCTATTTTTTGTGAGTGAATGGAGCACAATCATGAACATAAATGCGTCAACTTTAAAGATGATTTTCTCAATGTTTCGATTTTTCTGCACCCTCAGATTCGGTTTTCAAATAGTTAACTCGGCCAAATACTGTCTTATCCTAACAAACCATACATCAATGGAAAGCTTATTTATTAAACCTTCAGATGACGTATATATTAATTTTTTTTTAAAATGGACCCATGTGACTTGAGTACTTAATATAAATACCCTGCAATATGCTTAAAGATATACTTAAGTATATTTGATTGTGCTAAAGTAATTTAGGTACACTTTAAATATCTTGCATTTAAAGACAGAGATCACACTATGCTTTCATTTCTAATAGTGAAACATAATTTAGACTATTAATAAATGTGCATTGTGCAATAAAGAAGTACTCCAAATAAAGTTGAATTACATTTATATCAGTAATTCTCAAGTGATATATGTCAGTAAATGGATAGCCAATACTTAGAATGAAATATATGTATTTTAAATAAATTGTGTTGTAGGTTTTTTTTCACTATGAAGCACATCATTAAAACCGGAAACATTTACTTGACTTTGACATAGTTTTCTCTTTTAAAATTGTTGGGTTATAACAAAATAAATTATCATCTCTAGAAAATCTGGGTAAACAAAAAAAAAAAAAGAAATCCCAATATTCTATACAATTTTTAATCACAAGTAGATTGACTTCCTCTCAAAAGCTTGTGGTCGGTAAGATTTTTTTGAACATTTCTTAAAGTCTCATGCTCACAAAAGCTGCATTTATTTGATCAAAAAATACAGTAAAACTAGTAATATTGTGCAATACTATTACAATTCCTTTTCCCCCCAATTTGTGTAATCATTATTCCATGATACTTCAGAAATATGCTAATATGCATTCTAATAGGCTTATTTAATGCTCAAAATTCTTCCTATTATCAATACTGAAATCACTTGCGGCTTAATATTTTCTGTGGAAACCCAGATAAAAAAAAATGTCAGGATTCTTTGATGAATAGAAAGTTCAAAAGAACAGCATTTGTTTGAAACAGACCTCTTTTGAAACATAAATGTCTTTACTGCCACTTTTGATAAATTGAATGCATCCTTGCTGAAAAAAAAAAAAAATCAGTCTTGATTTATCTTGTTTTGGGGATTAAGAACATCCAAAACAAGTTAAATAATAGATATATTACTAAAAAGACAAAGACAAAAAAACCCGTAATATTTTTTGCAGTGAGTGTGTGTGGTCTATTTCCAGTGGTGAAGAGAGTGATAATTGATTATTTCACCGTGCCGTTCATTCATCTCCCCTGCTCACATGCGGCTCTGTAAACTCCTGTCTCTCCCCGGACGCACACGTAACGAGGGCCGGGCCTCCTGCTTTCTCTGAGCCATCACCTCAAAGAGAGAGAGAGAGAGAGAGAGAGAGACTATGATTAATCAGATCTTCTAAATGCTGGCTACCCCCAAGAGAGGCCCCTTCACAGTGAAGCTCTCAGGTCCCCACCTCCTGTAAACGCAGGGCGTTCAATCTTCACGGAGAGCTTCATTGTCAAAAGCAAATAGAGAGGGAAAAAAACACTTTCATTTTAGGTTCAAGCAGAGAGCAGGAAAGCATCTACTGTCTGCTTGCCTCGGTACAAATTCACAGAGCACTCAGTATTCAATTCAAGACTCCTGCTCTCTGTCCATCAGCATTAGCAGCGCTAGTGCTTGTGTTTTGTCTCGGGCTTCATTGCATTGTGTTTATGCTTGGTTGTTTGTTTAATTCTGTCCAGTCTTAAATGAGTGTCTTGAAGGTTGATTTTGAAGTCAAATGCATTGTCATGTAGCTTGTGGCATGTAAGGACGGAATGAAAAAAAAAAAACTTTACTACATTTTTTTGATAATTGTTTTATACAAACTGTTGTTGAAATTGTCTGATAGATAGATAGATAGATAGATAGATAGATAGATAGATAGATAGATAGATAGATAGATAGATAGATAGATAGATAGATAGATAGATGATTGTACAGT